GAAACTGACCTTTACACAGGCAGGGGTGAAATAATAATTTCTTAATTCCCAGTAGCCGTGAGGCTTATTAAGAATGGGTTCCTCAACTTAAAAAAAAAAAAAATAATAAAAAATCAGTTTGTATCTCAAAAAAAAAAAAAAAAAAAGAATGGATTCCTCAGTGACTGAGGTGCCCGTCTGAATTGCTTCAGATTCTCTACATTCAGAACTTTAAATTCGTTTAGAGATTGCATTTATTCCTATTACAAAAACAATGTAATGTTCATAAGTGAAAATTTGCAAGATAGAGAACAGTATAAAGAACCTAAATACCTTCTGATTTTTGTCACTCCATTTTTCTATATAAAAGCATTTAGCTTATTTATATTTGGCTATCATAGAAGGAAAAGAAAATAATATGATAGTACAATTGATTAAAGTTATTGGGGCCAACAGGTGGCGTAGCAGTTAAAGGACTGGACTCCCACATGATTGATCCTGGTTCATGTCCCGGACTTGGCAGCTTGAAACTCATGCCAAGTGTATGTGCAGGTGTGCCCAAATCCCAAGAGGTAAATGGAAGAAAAGGGATTGTGGTATGGCTATTTCCCCCTGCGCCCCCCTCCCCCCCAACAAGGGTTGATTTTTTTTTTTTTGCCTTCTGTCTCTCTGGCAAGTGCACACATCCTATAGCAAAAATGTCTCTCAAAAAATACTTAAAGTTACTGAAATTCAAATGAACAGTTTCTTCATGAAGGAAAATATTGGGTTCTACAGAATTCTTCTAAAGTTTAAAATATATGTGTATGTAGGTGTGCATATAAAAATAATTTAGAGATTGTTCTTAAAAATTTTGGTGGTTGTTGTCAATGGGCCCAACATTATTTTTTTAATGGACCAAAATGAACTTTGTAGGGAGCACATCTTAGTATGCTACTCATTAAAACATACCAGAAGAGGGCTGAGCTGTGGTGCAGTAAACACAATGCACTCTGTGGCGCTGACCCAGAAAGGTTCCAGATGAATATCTGGAGAGCTCCCCAAGGATGCCAGGCACACGCATGCCCATGGTCCAGGGCTGGATAAAGCTGCTGCATGAATCATGACCCTACTGGTAGTGCTGTTTCTGTCTCTCTGTCTCTCTTGTTCATGGAAGAAATAAATCAACTTAAAACCAGAAGGCAATGCCATGTGTTGAAAAAATTCAAAGCCAACTTGCCCAATTGGTGGAGGACATTGATTCATGAGTGTCTCGGTGACTGCCACTTTATCTGCTTCTGCTTTTGATATTTGTTGGCTGAGGTTTGGACTCATCGAGGGTCCACAAGAAAGGAAGTTTTACCTCGTCACAGGCTTCTGCTAGTATGCCAGGTTATAATTTCCTCTGCCCTGGTTTCTCATCAGTTCTAATTGTTGCTCTCTTTCACACATTTCTCAAGATTTCTAATGGATTCATTGTCCTGTTATCTGTTATTCAAACTGCTTGGGACCAAAAGTGTTTCAAATTTTTTAATACTGGAATATTTGCAAATAGAAAATGAGTAATGTTGAGGATGGGACCCAAGTACAAACATAAGAGTCACTTATTTTTTATATATACCTTATACACATAGCCTGAGGCAATTATACAATATTTTGGTATTGATGACAGTTTTTGGTTTGTTTTGTTATAAGGAACATGTACTTGCCAGAGAAAAGGAGAGAAAGAGAAAGTGAGCAGTCACCCCAAGGGGGGATGGCATGCTACAATCTCTTGTCCATTCTCCTCTTGGGATTTTGGTCTCTCACACACATGTGCCTGTTGTGATCCTCAGGTCACCAGGTCTGAGACTCAAACAGCTCAGTCAGCCACGTGGGATCTAGCCTCCTTAACCTCCAGGCCACCTGCTGGCTGGGTTCTTTGTCTGTGACCATCACCATGAGCTTAGGCATGGGATTTTCCACTAGATGGCATCAGGTCAGTGCTCAAAAACTTTCAGATTTTGAAGCATTTTGGATTAGGGAATTTTAAAAAAATTATTTATTTAATTTTATGTATTCATTCATTTCTTTTAATTTGGCCAGAGAGAGACACAGAGAGAGACAGAGAGAGAGGGAGAGTGAGGAAGCAAGCCACCAGGTCCAGGACTCGAAGCATGGTTGGCCATGTGGGAGTATCTAGCACCTTAACTACCATGCTACCTGCTGGTCCTGGATTAGGGATTTTTTTTTTTTTTTTTTTTTTTTGAGAGGTTTTCACTATAGGGCGCATGCGCTTGCCAGACAGACAGAGAGAGACAGAGAGACAGAAAGCGAGAAATCACCCCCCGGGGGGGATGGTCACGCCACAATTACTTCTCCTCCATTCTCCTCTTGGGATCTTGGGTGCACACGTGCCAGGTGTGAGTTTTAAGCCACCGGGTCCAGGACGCGAACCGCAGTTGACTACGTGGGAGCCCAGCGACATAGCCATTATGCTAACTGCTGGTTCCCAAGGGATTTTTAACATGCCTTTCAGTCACGTCAAGTGGCATTTTGGCTGAGAAGTGTTGTGTGTAATGCTTGCCACTTTCAACTAAAAACCGAGTTGGTTTTATTTTGTTAATCACCTACCTTTCACATAACTCATTATGCTTATTGAAATTATTTTGAAGATGATTTAGACATGTCTGGAGTTATATAGTTTTTCAAATTAGCATAGTCTCACTTTTGCTAGATTCTTTGCTGTGCAAATGATTACAGGAGGCATTTTTTTATCATAGAAATTTGTTGGTGAAATATTCCTCATTCATATGGGCATTTGTGATTATATTCTGAGAACATGCATGTATAAGTTAACATTATGTCGTTGGGAAAGTCATGATGTAGTTTTCTATCCAAATACCAGCTCCTGGAAGGTAGCCTTTATTACTTCTCTATGAAGGTAGAAGGAGAGAAGCATCCTTTTTTTCCATAGTAGCTGGACAGGATCAAAGGCCAGATCTCTAGTGGTTAAAACAAAACCCAGCAAATCTCTCTCATCCCCGAGACTCTTGGCTTTTGCCTAAATGACTTGTAAACCGAAGCGTTGCTAATCTTGAAACAATCCCTGAGGGATGTGGTTTTCTAAAACCCTAAATACAATTGACAATTGAATATCACAAAACACATACTCTAAGTGTTTTGTGCTCTTTCTTGGAAAGCACTGTCAGCAAAAATGGGTAATTGAAGGGTAGAGTGGTCCAAAAGAAAATAGTTTCTTTATCCGAAAAATTGGCTTTTAGAAAGATTTCTTTTCTCTAACAGACGATTTAGGTGAAAAAACTTTGCATGTGTCTTTACTCTGCATACATTTTAGAAGTCCTAAGTAAGAGAAGGAAAAGTAAGGTTTTTATCACCATCTTTCTGTTTTAAGGACCAAGTAATCCTTAAAGTTCATATCCTAAAATGGAATTTCTAAATTTTGATGGAAATTTTGTTATGTCACTTTATTTTTTAGGAGCTATTTATTTAATTTTATGTATCATTTTTGTTTTTAAATTTGCTACAGGGTATGCATGCTCACCAGAGGTGACAGGGAGGGGAGAGAGTGGGAGAGGAAGCAGGTCGCCGGTTTCAGACCTTGAACCGCAGTCAGCCATGTGAGAGTCTAGCATCTTAGCTGCCAGCCCCTGTTAAATCACTTCTATGGCAGGGTTTTTGAAATGATTAAAGAAAGCCTGATTTTTCACTTAACACTTTGGCTAGGCATATAAGAAGTTTTGTCCCCTCACCCAACCTTTTTATTTATTTATTTATTTATTTATTTATTTAAGATTTCTAATTAATTTATTTAATAAGAATGAGAGAGAGACAGACAGATACACTGGACAGGGTCTGCACACTGTGATCTTCCCCTAGCCTTGCAGCCAGCCAGGATCATGTGAGCACACTCCGCATGTTCAGGTAGACCCAGGGCACGAACTCACAGCCTGCCCTTATGGCCTCCAGTATCATGTGGCAGAGCCCCATCGCCGGTGCCACCACGTGGGCCTTGTCCCCCTTACGTCATGTGGTCACAAACAGTCTCTTTGATTTCTTATGTGTTAACCCAGTAGAGATTACAGATCCCTGCTGGTGAGATGAAGCCCCGCTGTGTCAGAGTTCAGGATAGGAAGTAAAACATACCCTAATCTTTTTCTTTCAAGCATTGCTTTCTTCTTACGTTGTTATGGGAAGTATGTACTCGCCAGAGAGAGATGGAGAGAGAAAGTGAAAAAGCACCCTCTAAGAGGGACGGCCATGCCACAGTCCTTTCTCCATTCCCCCTTTGGGATTTTGGGCTTACGCATATAGACACCAGGTGTGTTTTTGAAGCTGCCAGGTTTGAACCATACAGTCAGCCATGCAGGATCCAGCTGCCTCAACTACCATGCTGCTGGGTGGCCCTCAGGTATTTTTACTTCAATAATTTAAATCCACACGCTGTATACCAAGTACTTTATACACCGTATCACATTTCATTTTCGCAAAACTCTGTGATGTTGATACTACACACGGTAATAACAGTCTCATAGTCACAATGGCCAGGTCAATAGAGGAATGGCTTTCACCCAGGCCTCACTGTGAAGTCTGTGGCCTAGTCTGCGGGTGACGTGGTCTCCACATTAGCTATCCCAAGTGTTCGTTATAAATTCTCTTGAACTACTGTTCACGTCTCTAATTATGCCACATTTCAAAACTAACAATATGATATTCAGGTTGTTTGAGGAGACTGTCTGCCAAGATATTTTCTCTGGTTCAGTGTGAGATCTGATTTCCCAGAACATAGTGTGCTTTATAACATTCAGCACGCATTTATCCCAGGTGGGTACTTGGAGGGACGCGTCTCTAATATAAAATACAAAGCAAGTCCAGTTGAGAGCCCCACAGCTGGACCAGAGGTGACCGGCCTGCAGCTACGCCCTGACACCTTCACGTCCTTGGCTGAAAACGAGACCATTTTCACTGTGCTCGTTCTTTATAAGGAGCGATTGGCGATGAATGACGACATGCTGACACGTCTTTACTCAACCTTTTTACAGGGAAGCTTGGATGTGGTCCTCCTGGGGCACCGTTTAGTGGACTCATTGCGGAAGGCGATGTGGGTCTCCTGGCTGCAGCTCTGCGGATACAGGTTTGTGGGACGTAGCCTTTTGAGAATGTCGAGTTCAGTGCTTTGATTGATAATCATGAACATTTTGCCCAGTGTTTTCTGTTTACAGGCTGCGGTGTTTAATACTTCACATAGTGTCAGGCCGGGTTGGTAAAGGAGGAAATGTAGACTTAGGAAAATTAAGTTACAAGACCAGCAGATGGCGTAATGATCACTTCGCTGGACTCCCACGTAATCAACCCCAGTTGGAGTCTCAGACCCAGCGGCTTATAACTCAACACTGGGCATGTGTGCATGCATGTCCAAAATCCCAAGAGGAGAATGAAGGAGAAGGGTTGCGGCATGGCCCTCCCCCCTGGGGATGGGTGATTTCTCACTTTCAGTCTCTTTGTCTCTTTCTGACTCTCTGGCAAGTGCATGCACCTTATAGTGAAAATCTCTCTTAAAAAAAAATAAATAAATCACTTATGATTACATGACAGATGTGGGGCAGGAGCCCAAGTCAGGGTTTATATATCACTTACCCACTGCTGTGTAAGCAATTACTCCCAAAATTCAGCAACTTAAAACAACATTTATTGTCTCAGTTTCTTGGGTCGGAGATGTGAGAGACTAGCTGGATGGTTCTGATTCAGGACTTCTCATGACATGGGCATTAAGATGTCAGCTAGGGCTGCAGCCACCTGTAGTCTGGACAGGGTGGGAGGAGCCTCTTCCAAAATAGTGCACTACCTGCTATTGGCATTTGATATTTAGCTCCTCATTGCCTACCTGCAGGGTGCGCTAGATCCCTGTCACGTGGTCTCTCCATAGGACTGCAACGTGGCAACTAACTTCACCGAGAATGAGCCAGAGAGCAAGAACCTGGTCTCCAAAATCACACATCACCTCCTCCTTTCATGCTGTTCCTTAGAAGCAAGTCACTAAGTCTAGTTCATATTTCAAGGAAAAGAGAATTGGATACATCTATTGAAGACAGAAGTATTTTTTAAATGAATTATTTATTTAATTCCATTTGTTGTTATTATTTTTTTAATTTGACCAGAGAGAGATAGAAAGGGAAGGGGAGAAACCAACCTGCCAGGTCCCGGACAGGAACTGCAGTAAGCCACGTGGGAATCCAGCACCCTTAAACACCACACCACCTGCAAGCCCATTGAAGATATTATTAAAGAATCTGTAGGCATCTTTTTGAACTGTCGTCATGTATGTGACATAAAAACCAAGGTCCCCTGGCTCTCCACCACGCAAGTGGAGTGTTCTAATGGCGCCAGGCCAGCATTGGTGGGTTCTGATGGACGGTACTGGCATGAGTTAACAATAGAGAAACTTCCACCCCTAGGCACTGCCACAGCAGAAGGAAAAGAAGTACATTTTAGTTCATTTCTTTGATACATTCAAAATAATATACGATTAAAACTTTGTACCTCTCAAATGGAATGTATGATGTTTTTGTAAGGATTATAAGTTCCATTTCAATTGAAGCAAAATTTTATTTTCACTTATTTTTACCTTATTTATAATTTATATATGAACATACTAGGTTGTTGGGAAATTGACTATGTATTTTTCTATGGAAAAAATGCATCATGACTTTCTGGACGACCCAATATATATATATATATATATATGCATTTAGTATAAATGTATATGTGTGTGTGTGTGTGTGTGTGTGTGTGTGTATAGTTGTCCAGAAAGTCATCTTTTGTGAAGACTTAAGCTATTTTTTAAAATCATTTGTGATCCACATTTAATTGTTGTATACCCTTGAAAGCAGACAATATGGTTTTTCAAAGGATGCATTCAGTATGTACAGTCAAACCAAGATATGACCATATGCGTCGTTTTCTATAGAGAACTTTACATTCTTACATCTGTATTCTCTTAGCCCCTCCCCTGCCCCTGTACTATCCACCTGTCTGTCCACTGTCCTTGCTGTTGTCCTCCCGCCACTCTATCTTTGGCTGTTCCCATTTCTGCCATAGAGTACAGCCATTCGGCATGTAGAGCAGGATCTCGTGTACACATGTGTCTTTCATCATCTACCGTTAAATCTTGTTTATATCAAGTGACAGGGACTCAGTGTTCCTTATGGCTGAGTAATATTCCATTGTGTGTAGGTGCCACTATCAGTCCAGTCACCCATTCTTGGGCACCTAGGTTGATTTTCAGTCCAGTCACCCATTCTTGGGCACCTAGGTTGATTTTCAGTCCATTCATCCATTCTTGGGCACCTAGGTTGATTTTCAGTCCATTCATCCATTCTTGGGCACCTAGGTTGATTTTCAGTCCAGTCACCCACTCTTGGGCACCTAGGTTGATTTTCAGTCCGTCACCCATTCTTGGGCACCTAGGTTGATTGCACATCTTACCAATTGTGACTAATGCTGCAATAAACACGGATGTGCAAGTATCTTTCTGCCTGCTTTCCTATCCTTTAGGTAAAGACCAAGCCATTTTAATAGGGGTCATATCTCAGATTTTCCTTTGTAAGAAAAATCTACAAAGCTAAATACATGTGAATACATTCATCCCTACTGTTTACTTGCATTGTTGGGTGACTCATCACATTGTTGGGTGTTTCATCACACGCATGCTCAGTATTTCTGTGGTTTATGGGCATGTCCTGCAGTTTTTGCTTTTGTGACACCTGTTTTCCTCTCTGTCCCACTGAAGAATATGGTCAGTAGTGGAAGGAGGTGGCTTCGAGAACAGCAGCACAGGAGGTGGCGACTTCACTGCCTGAAACTCCAGCCTCTCTCGCCTGTCCCAAGGTAACAGGGGGGTTTGTTTATACTGATGTCAGCGCGGCCATGTACCTTAGATATCAAAATGGAGGCAGTGGGTGGGGGAACTCGAGGTGTAGTGATTTCTCTAGTCATTCAGGTGCCACGCTATTTCCCCACCTGTAACTCCTTCAAAATGAAATCATCATGAACATGTTTACCATATTCTATCCATTCTTGTTTTGTTTTGTTTTTTGTTTTTTGTTTTTTTGAGAGGTTTTCGCTATAGGGCGCATGCGCTCCCCAGACAGACACATAGAGACAGAAAGCGAGAAATCACCCCCCAGGGGGGATGGTCACGCCACAATCCCTTCTCCTCCATTCTCCTGTTGGAATCTTGGGCACACACGCACACGCGCCCGGCGTGAGTTCTAAGCCACCGAGTCCAGAACGCGAACCACGGTCGACCACGTGGGAATCTAGCGACATAACCATTACGTTAACTGCTGGTTCCCCCTATCCATTCTAAGAATGTAAACCTTTTCGTTTCATTTCAGGAATGTGTCCTATATGCAATGACAATGTTTTGTTTTCTTAGTCATTCAGAAAACAGTGGTTTTAGATTTGACAAAATACAATAATGCAGTATTTGGAATATGCTTTTCGGTTTTAGAAATACCCTACACATATATCCGTTTGTTCTTGAGGTTTGTGTAGGTTTTTATCTGGGTATAAAGAGACCCACCAAATCCTGGAAACGGAGCTCAGCTCTCGTTAGAACTGCACGTCGGGATAGTCCATGGTCGTTAGGGTGGATATTTTCTTCACGGTGTGAGTGAGCTCTAAGCTTCGCTCTTTCTGTACAGTTGGGAGCTACATTAGGACATAATCGTAGCATGTGACTTAGAATAATGAGTGAATGTGAAGGCTGAGCCTGAGGCCTGCGTTTCCCAGCACCATCCTGAGGCTTTCCTGCCCCATTCCCTTATCCTCGTGCTGGGGTACCCCAGGGAATCTGGTCCAGCAACGTTGGAGTGCACAGTGCCAAGTAGATAATGCACAAGCAACTAATATTCTACTCGATAACTAGGCGCTTTTAGACATGACCTCTGTTTCCTTGAGAAGCCAGCTAGATATTATGGTTCCGCTATGCCCATCGTGCTGGTGAAACCCTGCTTATTCCTGTAACAGACTAAATGTCTTACTCATACTCTGCTCATGTTAATACATAAATGCCAGCGAGGAGTGTCATTCTTTGTAACACCATCCCTACAGTGGTACAATATGTCGTACAAAAGACCTTATTCTTCGCAGTTATTTATGTTGTTATAGGCCCTTAGGTTTCACAATTCAATTAATAAATTGTACGTACAGACCATTTTTCTTACATTTAGACCGTACTAAATTGTAGAACAAACATCTCTCAGTGTAAATTCTTCTTGGAGGGGAAAAAGTACTTTAATTGCTTCATCAGATTTTATTTCTGAAGCCACCGGAGAAAGAAAGGCAGGATGAGTAGTTTCTTTACACATCAAGCAAAAAGTCAAAATGTCACTCTAACTGTTTAGCCAGTGGAGAGAAAACCTTAGAGCTTTTCCATAATTAGACTGTTTGGTTTAGGAGACTGTTGGAGGAGAGAAAGAGAAGAAAAAGGTAGAGTGAAGTAGGCTCTAGAAGGTAAAGGTTGGGTGGTGGGCAATGCGAAGGGGGTACACAGGGTAGGCATGGCAGGGCAGGGGGTTCCCTGGGAAGCCCAGAGCTCAGTCCACCCCCAGCCCAAGGCTTCTCTCCCTTCTCCCACCTTCCTGGGATCCCTTTGGGAAAGTCCAGTGGAGGTAAGCTTCATGTGACCCAGGACACTCATGTCAGACTCTCACAGGGTCCTGGAAGCCAGCACGGTAGCTGTCGTGGGAGGGCCCAGAGCAGATTGTGGCAGTAGCAGAGGCACCAGCATGCCGCAGGAAGTGCTCCCAGGAGACCCAGGGAGTGACTGTGCTCTGATGTGACTCTTTAGGGCAGATCCCTGGTCCTTGCGCTCCCTGGCTCGAGGCTCTCTCCAGGTTAGCCTTGCTGCCAGGGAGTAAGTGTGCCTTCCAGTTCTCACTCTCGACAGATAGCCAGTCAGACAGACGGACAGCCTGACCCCCTGTAACAAACGACCGCCCCACAAGGCTCTCTAGAGGTGATACAGCACTCACTGGGATTTGGCCCCTTCTGGAGGATAAGCAGAGGTTTCTTGTCATGCCAGGAAAACGGCATTGTGTGCCCAGGATCTCTGCATTCCCCAGGCTCATGTTGAGCTTCAGGCCCTGGGTTCTTTTACCAGCAGTTATTTGATTAATAAAATATTGTGAAATATGATTTTGGACTAGAGGTAGGAAACGGGAAAGTATGGACACAGATAAAATAGCGTTTCCACCTTTTTTAATAGCCAGGAGACACTTGCGGCTCACCCAGCAGGAGAGCATTGTGCACCAGCCCTTCGGCTCATGATTAACAACTACAGCGAGGACCTACAAGCGTGCTCTGGGAAGGAGTCCCACTCACAGGAGCCCCTAGTACGCGTGGTGATGGGCAGGGCTCTCTCCCTGTGATATAGGTGTTAGCTGGTACCTGGACACCACTCTAGGATCTCCGTGAGCTCTTCAGAGTTACAACTCTAAAAAATAGCGTTTTCTCATGCATGTTAATTGTTTGCAGTTGTGTTTAATCCTGCCCGGGAGAAAGGACCACAAAGCCATTGCGGTGATTTAATGGTTGGCGTGGTGTCTGCCTGTTTTTCACTCCAGTCACGACCACCTAAGCTGAGAAGTTTCTTGCCACTTCTGTGTTTTCTTTCTCCTCAGCGATATTGAGATTTCAAGAGCACAGACTCCAAAAGCCGTGGATGTCCTTGCCAAGGAGATAGGATTGCTTGCAGATGAAATTGAAATCTATGGTAAAAGCAAAGCCAAAGTACGTTTGTCCCTGCTGGAAAGGTTAAAGGATCAAGCAGATGGAAAATACGTCCTCGTAGCTGGGTAAGCTTCCATGTACGATCCGCTTTCCTAAGGGGACATGTTTCTAAAACTCTCTTGCTATTTGTCTCTGTCCGCATACCTCTCAGATTTATCCTCTTCTCTAATTTGACATTAGTTTGTCCATTTCACTTGGCCTTCATTCATTTGGCATGAGGTAAGTTTTTATTTTCAGTGCAGAGCGAATGAGTCTCCTCTACAAAATATGATGTATGACCAGTTGCTGACGGAGGGATTTGCTTTTTGTTTCTCCTACCATATTGTGGTCACTCCTGCCTCCACCCTTGGCTTTTGCATTTCGTTTCTCATGATGAAAAGCGAGATAAGAATGGAAAGTAAAATATTTTGAGACAAGCAGGGTTACACTGATTTCACGTTATTTGTTTTGGTATTCTATGTAGAAATAATATTATGGTGGAAAATGCACAAATTGCTGTGTAAAATTCACATCTTTCTATTGAAATCCATGGCGTTTCTTATTTGTATACTCTCATATCAAAAACTCATTATTTCTTTTTCTTTTCTAACTTTTGAAAACTAACGTTGAGCCATGTTCATTTGTGTGACTTCTTTAGTGAACAGTGGGTTGTGTACCTAGCTCCGCGAGAGGGTACGGAACTATCTCACTGTTCTTTCTCTTTTTCAGTTCTCTCCTTTCTTTTCCTTTCTGGATTGCTAGAGCGTGCATGTGCTCACCAGAGAGAGAGAGAGCGAGCACCCCCCAATGATGTGTGGTTATGCCACAGTCCCTTCATTGCCCTTTCCCCAACCCGTCATAATTCTAACCCAGCATGCACACATGTCCGGTGTGAGAGTGCTTTCCTGAACCACCGGGACCGGGATTCAAACTGCAACAGCCATGCAGAATCCAGCTCCCTTCATCACTAGGCGACAGGGCAGGCCCACCATTTCCTTGCCTACATAACATCCCATTGCTCACTTCTGAGCTTCCTCGGTATGTTGGGGACAGGAGGTGGGGTGAGGGGCAGTGACAATGCCTGCTGTACACGTGGAGTCTTCTGTATCTTCCCAGCTCTCTTGACTCCAGTGAGAAGTGCTGTGAATGTCCAGCATCTTTTTACTTCATCAGAGCTCTTGAGGCAGAAAAATGGGAACATGACAGAGACGTTTTAGAATTTAACCAATTGTGTACTGAGGGTGTTTACACCTTTGGCCATTGTAAACAGTGCAAGTTCGTGTCTGTCCAGCTGTCTCCTCTGGGAAAAGCCCTAGATGTGAGTTCAGTTATTTACGATGACAAATAAGCAAGGTATCCACACTACCAACTCCTAGTGGGATAACAATGTCTCCCTGTCCCTGTCCCCTCCCTCTTAACTTCCTGCCTCCCCTTCCCTCTCTTTTTCCTTCTCCTCTGTTAGTGTTTTGGAAGAGGACCAGACAGAGTTGCTCAGTGGCTGGGCTTTGAAGCGTGTCAGTTGCCTGTGGCCTCAACCTTCTCCCTAGACTTCCGGGCTTGTGGCAGGTGGACTCCTAAGTCTTTTTCCAATCCATCACCCCCACCTAATGGTCCCCACCACTGCCTGCTGTGGGGAGATATCGGCCCCTCCTGCAGGACCCTCCAACCCCATGCGTGGCATAACTGGCTCCGTGGCTGGAAGGGCTTGGCTGTGCTTGCCACCTGAGTGCCTCGTTGGTCCCTCGCTAGTCAGTCGTGTTTGTCCTGGGTGTGCTTGAGGCAAATGTGTTTACAGTGTCTACACAGCCTGGGGGACAGCAAGAACTTTGAGAATGTCTTGGAAAATCCTCCAATTTCGTTCCCTTCTCCTTCAGGCTTTGGACAGCCTTGGTGGGTGGGTGCACTGGTTTCTCGCTGTTGAGGTGGGAGGGCTGAAGCAAGACTCAGGAGGATGTGTCTCTGTTTATGAAAAAGGAACTGTGCGGCCTTTTGCAGCAGAGTGGCTGTGATTTACACCCTTTTTGGCCTGTCAGTATTGTAAGTAAAAGCAGAGCTCCAGGCCCAGCCATTGCACACAGTGGTAGCACTAGTGCCCTGCAGTGCTGGAAGTCACATGGTGCCTGCGGTTTGGATCCTGGGTTAGCGTGAGAAAAATGCTGGTGTGCTTGTGGGTGCCCAGGACATGAGGCGCTGGCGGGCTGGAGAAGAGGGATTGTGGCACGATGAGACCCTCTGCTTGCTCTCTTTCTGTCTCTCTCATGCTCACAGGCATGCACTTTCTGTCATAAAACATAAAGGAAAAAATGTAAACATAGGCCAGCCTCCTAGTTTAGTGGTTAAGTGATCCAAAGCTCACATGGTGAGCCACGGTTTAAATCGTGGCCCTGGCGGCTTGGAAAACACACTGGGCACATGTGCATGCAGGCTTAAAATCCCTGTGGGATGGAGAAATGGACAAGGGATTGCAGCGTGACCACACCCTATTGGAAGGTGCTTCACTCTCTCCCCTGTCTGCCCTCCATCTTAGTATCTTTCTTTAGGGAGCACACGCCCTCTGGCAATTAAAAAAGAAAAAGAAAAAGATCCATAAATTTAGATATGGCCCTATCTTGTTTTTTTTGTTTGTTTTTTTCTTTTTGGGAGAGGTTTTTGCTATAAGGTGCATGTGCTTGCCAGAAAGATAGATAGAAAGTGAAAAATCATCCCCAGGGGGGATGGCCATGCCACAATCCCTTCTCCTCCATTCTCCTCTCGGGATCTTGGGTACGCACGCACACGTGCCCAGCGTGAGTTTTAAGCCACCAGGTTCAGGACTCAAACTGCGGTCGGCTACGTGGGAGTCCAGCGACATAGCCATTATGCCAACTGCTGGTCCCAATATGGACCTATCTTTAGCAGGGAACACAGAACTGGCACTTCTCACTGTTACCTAGTTTCTAGCTTGAGTCAAGCCACCAAGGCCTATGGGAGCGCACAGGTAGCAGTCCTGACGGCAACCACAGTCCGTGCTACTTGGTACCCAGTACAGCCCCGTTGAGGTATCTTCACCAGTATTGATGTGTAAGACTGAGCCGAAGCTGGCCTGCCATGCTGTAAATAGAAATGGAAGTTAAACGTGAATTTTCAAGTTCAGATTTCACACCAAGTGATCGATAGCTCTTTTTTTGAATTTGTGATTTAAGTTCCTCTACCTAACAAAGACCTTGGAAGAAACAGAAATTAAATGGTGTTCCATTTAATTTCTTTTTGGTGGGGGGAACCTGTGAGGTTACAGTACTGATACACCAGGGTACTTCAAAAAGTGTGTGGAAAAATGAAATTAAACTCTGTGTTTATTTTGGTGAAAAATTTTGAAATCCATGTATACTTCTTTTTTTTTTTAAGAAAGGTTTTTGCTAAAGGGCACATGTACTTGCCAGAGAAACAGAGACAGAGAGACAGAAAGTGAGAAATCAACCCCTGGGGGGATGGCCACAACATAATCTCTTTTCCTCCATTCTCCACTCAGGATTTTGGGCGTGCACACACACGTGCCCGGTGTGAGTTTTAAGCCACTGGGTCTGGGACTCGAACTGTGGTCCACTACGTAGGAGTCCAGCAACATAACCATTACGCCATCTGCTGGTCCCCGTACTTTTCTCCTAGTACACATTTCCATTTTGAAGACTCTTTATATATACATCTATATCAGAGCTTGAAGAATTTTAGAACATAGATACCACAACATAGTATATATTCCTCTCCAATAGCACTACAATTGATACATGTTTTAAGTTTCAAATTGTATTCAGTATCTAATGCTTTAATAACTGGATGATCAGCTTGAACATAATTATTTATAATCTAAAATGAAAACTGAAGTTGAAATGAAAATCACCTTCCTACTTTTTTCTTCTTTTTAAATTTTTTTATAATTATTTTTAAATTTTTATTTCTTGTTCTTCTTCATTTTGATCAGAGAGAGATAGAGAGAGAGAGAGAGAAAGCAAGCTGCCAGGTCAAAGACTTAAACCATGGTCAGCCATGTGGGAGTCTAGCCCCTCAACCACCACACCACCTGTTGGCCACCCTGTTTTTTTTTGTTAGTTTCCTATAGAGCATGTGAACTGGTCAGGGAGAGACAGTAAGGAAGAGAGAGGGAAAGCGAAAAATCACTCTCCAGGGGGGATGGCCATTGCAATCCACTCTCCATTCTCTTCTTAGGAGTTTGGGTATACACACGCACCCACCTGGCATGGATTTTCAAGCCCCTGGGTCTGGGACTTGAACCATACAGTGGGCCATGTAGGATCCAACCACCTCAATTTCCAAGCCATCCTCTGGCCCTTGCCTCCCTAACTTTATGTTTGATCAGGCCATTTCATTTTTCTCAGCATCCTTTTTAATTCAGAAAATAGCACTGGCTTAGTATAAAAATGCATTGTAAAGAAAGGCAAAAAGACAGAGAAAACAAAATCCCGCTTTACTCCGAAGTGTTAAAAATGTTTATATTTCTTTCCAGGATTTTATCTATCTATCCATCCTTTTTACATATTGAGATTAGGTTATAAATACCATTTTGTGACCTGCCTTTTTCTCTAAACACCGTCACATAAATCTTTTCTAGGCTTTAGAAGAATTAAAAAATCCATGTAATTTCTCAATAAACCTAAATAGTAATATATTTGTTAGTGTACACTTGAATTTATGCATAAATGTGATTTAACTATATCAACAGTGGGATTAAAATATAAAACAAAGAGTTTTTTTTAAGTCTAGTATTAAAAGAACCCAAATGCAGAACAGAGAGATTCTTTTTACAAAGTCGTTCTGCAGGCTTTCGGCTTTCCTGTTGAGTTAAAATCATCTGTGTCTCATCAGCTACACATCGCGTGGTATTTACACCTACACATCGCTTGATTTGCTTTGCCTGACAAAATGAGAAGTATTGGGAATTGTTTGGGGAAATGTGCCAGAAGAATCTTAGGGGCCCTTGAGTTTTGCAGACTTTCCCAGTTACACTAATGAAAAAGAATTCATTTCTGGGTGAGCTCTGCACTCCGCGTGCAGCTGCCCGGCACTTGGTTGTGGACGCCATCTCCACTGGGTTTTCATTTTCTTTGCAGAAGTTTCTAGAATTTCTCTGAATTGCTTGGACAGAACTTTTTTTTTTTTAAAGAAGCCTTAACTGGTCTATGAATAGACTGAATTTCACATGAAAGAAAAGTCAAAATCATTCACATCAATTTGTCCTTTTTTTGTTTTTCTGCAGAATTCCAAATGTCTTATTTATTATTATTATTATTATTATTATTGTTATTATTTTGTACAATGTACAAACCCCTTATGGTGATACAATGCCAAAATGACTTTGACAAACTTGTAAAATTTTGCCTTTCTGCCTTGGGTAACTATTTAAATACCTAAATTCTTTTATTTGTATTACTTTTAAAAGAAACCTCAACTGAAGTGTATTTGAATAATTTGCCTCAGTCAAGTCCAGTGACAGGCACAACTACATTGATTGTATTTTTGTTTGTTTGTTTGTTTTTTTAGAGAAATTTTTGCTATAGGATGCATGTACTCACCCGAGAGACCGAGTGAGAAAGAGAAACAGAAACCGAGAAATCACCCCCTTTGGGGCTGGCCATGCCACAATCCATTCTCCTCCATTCTCCTCTCGGGATTTTGGGCGCACACAACACACACACACACACACACATGCCCAGCTTGAGTTTTATGAGTTTTATGTCCAGAACTCGAACCGCATTCAACTATGGAGTGCAGCGATGTAACCATTTCTCCATCTGCTGGTTCCTGAACTGTAGTTTTTACAACAGATAATCAAAGGCTTTTTAAAACCTTCCAAATCATGAAGATGCTTGAGATGAGTGATATTTATTTGTGTTTGCTATGTGAGCATACAGTTATGGAGTTCATAGTTGGGCCCAGGGCTAATGACTATAATAGTCTTCAACAGCTTCTGGGTGTGGGTTTCGAAATTTTACCTCCTCTCTCTGTAGGAGCAATCCTGTTGACCTCTGAGTAAGAGTAAACTTATTTCAGATTATGTCCCGGGCTTCACAGAGCATAGAATACAGAATATGTTGTGGTATCTATTTTCTGAAATTCTTCGAGCTCTGATACAGATGTATATATCAGGAGTCTCCTTTACTGTAGTTTATCATAAGTAATGATGATCTTAGAAAAGGTGTCATTCCATGGCTGGCCCCTTACGTGCAGGGGTTAGGCCCTGTGCACTGGGAGCTGGATTCCATATGGCCAACCCCAACTTGGAATCCTGACTCTAGAAGCTCTACAAAACACACCAGTGCATGAAAGCATGTACCCAGAATCTCAGTGAAATAAAGGAATGGAGAAAAGGGATTGCAGTGTGACAGGCCCCATGTGTGTGTGTGTGTGTGTGTGTGTGTGTGTGTGTGTGTGTGTAGGTGGGAGGTCCTATCTCTCTCTCTGGCAAGCACATGTACCCTCTGACAATTAAATAAAAAAAGATGGAATAATGCTTACGTTGCTGGACTTCAGTGTAGTCGACCATGATTTGAGTCCTAGACCCAGAGGCTTAACATTCACTTAGGATACGTGTGCATGTGTGCCCCAAATCCCAAGGGGAGACTGGAAGAGAAGGGACTGTGGCGTGGCCATCCCCCCTGGGGTTGATTTCTCGCTTTCCGTCTGCCTGTCTCTCCAACGAGCACATACGCCCTACAGCAAAAATCTCTCCAAAAGGAAAGAAAGAAAAGGTGTCATTCTGCCAACTATTTTTTTTTAAATTTTTTATTTTATTTTATTTTATTTTCTCCTCTGCCCTGAGTAGGTGATAGGAAATCGTGGAGAGTGGACGTCATCCTTGACTTCAGCAAGACAGACAGGTCAGGAAGCGTAGTGTATCTGATGCCAGCTGGAACGTCACGTGCACCTTGCGCAATAAACGCTGAGAGGTATCAGGGAAGGAGCACGTACATTCACTTGGAGAAGTTGAGAGAGGCAATGAACAAAACCCACGGGTTTATCCCCATAAACTTTAAGCTTTTATATTTAAAAAAAAAAAAATTGGAGAACTTGATACTCATTCTTTTCTAAATCAGTGCCTTGGAATCTGAGCTAAGGATAGTGGAGAAAAAAATTAAACCAAACTTTGATACCAAAA